GAGCTGTCGATTGGTCCAAGATGGTGAAAGCAATCGATGCGGGGTGTCTCTTATATTATGTCTATGGTGGCACATATCTTATGTAATGCATACCTAAATATGCAACAAATATTCGGTCGTCAGTCAATTTCCATCGACTGAATCAACATCCATGGTGCAATTGACGAGGTTATGTTAGTGACGTCTTCAGCTAAAAATGAAACCTTTATTCAGCATTGGTTTCTCAGTCTTGGATGTTGAACCTGTTTTATATTTCTGCTGAATGTTGGTGTAGGTACCAGATCTGCTCAGGTGGTCAGATCTGCTCGGGCTCTACGCATGCCTGTGACGTTACGCTACATGATTGGCTGAATGTTACCACATGATGTAAAACATTGTGGTTGCCCCGACAACGATAATAACATTACCCAGCATCCGTGTGCCGAGTCGGGAGCTTCTGTAGTGTTAGCGTGACCAATGACGTTTTACCTGATAGATAACAAAATTGAAAAAAAAAGTTTATGGTGAACAAAGTAACTCCAAGACCATATTAGCCATATTAAGCTACACTACTTTTAACTTTGTATCAACAGCAACCGTTAGTTTTCTACGAGTAGAATAACTGTTTGATTTGTCTAAAATCTCTATGAATGTCATTTTTAAGATGTCCTATTTGTCCTCTACCCTCCGATCTTAATAAAGAATAAAAATAAGCTGAGACTTTTATGTCACCTTGTTCAATAGCAGAGCTTAGTATTAGAAAGCAGCATTTCCCTTTAAGGCTGACAATGATTGTTTTCTACTTTCGGCTACTTTAAATCACCAATCAACCAGCAAATATAGGTACTATGGTAAGAGTCTAAAAGAGATTCGATTCTTAAGAAACGGGTGCAATTCAGTTGGCACTGGAGTAACTTTCTGAAGGACAGGTGTGGACATGTCCCCACCAATAATTTCAGCTTTTTCCCCCCCTTTCCACTGATTTACTTTAGCCAACAGTAACTGGGGTTGGGTGCAGCTGTCTGTATTTAGAGCTTTTTCAGGCCATGTTTTTTCCTCGCTCTCCTGCTGCTCTCGTGTCCCACCTCTTGAAATATCATGCAATCTGTCGCTTTGGGACGTAATATTATTTGGGGTCGCTATTCACTGCCTACAGAGTCACTACGTGGAGGAGGAGAGACACAGCAGCACTCAGTGAATATTAACCAGCAGCTACTTTGATATATGTTTCAGTAAAAGTTAGGAGACTGGTTGGTTAAAGAAATTAGAGATGCCACCAAAAAAAAACGTTTGTTACACATACAACCTTTTTCAGCTAAAAATGGCAACAGACTGTACATTTATATAAGTTTAAAAAGCTGGGCTTCTCAGAGGACCATTACTCAGAGTTACAGATTAAAATGAACACATATCTGTTGTTTCAACAAGACTCAGAAATAGCTGTGCCAGCAACCCAGAAGCAGACAGACTCACAGGACACAGACTTAAAATTAAAATATAAAGAAACAAGAATTAAAGCACAGATAACACAAATCAGTGTATTTTGAAATATAAGGTTAAAAACATAGAGTTTGGCTCTCAACGACATATGGGACAAATTTCTTTTAGATTTAATTAGATTTTGCTGCTTGTGAAGGAGGATAATAACGGATGCAGCTCAAAGGGAAGCCATGCATGGATGGATGGATGGAATTGTGTCCTTTCTAGGGATGCATGATATATTGATCAGTATCGGCTGTTATTCGTCATATTTTATACATGAATGTTTTTTAACCCTTTATAAATAATGCACTAAAGGCAGGCATCTGTCTATAACTATAAATATCAGTGTATTGTCGTACTCTTGTGTTCTCAACAATAGGAAAGCATTCAATAAATATGTTTGAGCTCATTTTTGGAAAATATAAACCCTTTTGAAAGCGTTCGGGTTGAGTAGCTGTAGGTCCATCAGCCACTATCCTTAGAGTGTCCCCAGCAACTTTTATCGCAAAGTTACACCCTTGCTGAGTGGAGTTGCCATATGTTGACGTCATAAGAAGGGGCAGGGCCCAGAGCAGATCTGACCACCCGAGCAGATCTGGTACCTACACCAGAGCTCAAAACAGCAAGACGGTACAGAGCAGATTGTAAGTCATGCAGAGCAACAAAATAAAAAATCTGGTTAATTTTAAAATAATAATAGTTATCTGTGGTAACTTGCCATTACTTCAAGAGTCACCATGGTTCTTCAAAAAGCCTCAAAATGCCCCATTTTATTCTACAACTGCTGTAATGTTGTAGACTCCTCATTTATCTTACATACTTACTTACACATACATTAAATTAGCATATTTATCCAGTCTGTTTAATATTTACACCTATTAATAGCTAGATTTACTGTTTTATTCTTTGATACTGGGCTGCTTTGGAACCAGGGAAACTAATTTAGTTGCATTATATGTCAACATGTTGAAATTACAGATTTTGAAACATGATGTTGAAATGCATGTTGTTTTCATTTCTATCAATTCAGTTTTTGACTGTGTTGACATACTTCACTAAAGGAATAACAGGATAGTGAGGCGTCAAACTAAGCTTTCAGGCCAAGCAGCAAGAGGAGCAGTGAGAGGAGAGATAGAGGAAGAGCAGGTACTAGAAAAGGAAGAAACTGAATCTGAACTGATTTAAAAGTCGGATCTTTAATGCGTGATAACTGAAGTATTGTGTAAGATTATAATAGAAATATGTTCGATTAGGCAGCATCATCAACAATATAGTGTAGCAGGGTCTGGGTGTCTATTATAAAAACTCAAGTAAATATAAAGCAACTAATTACAACATGCATAAACAATTTGTGGCACAGTTCTAACCAGTTGTAGACAGAAGCTTGAAAGAAAGATGACATTACTGTAAATCATGGTTTACAGTGTCTGATATGTCTGGTAGGGGTGTAGATGGATAGAGGGGTAATTAACAGCCAAGCCTTTTTAAAAGTCAATACTAAGTTGTTGCTCCTGAAGACACTGAAAATGGCCAGATTTAAATAATGGAAATATAATCATCTCTGGTGGCACATGCCAACAAACCCGACTAGAAGTTCTGACTCTTGACCTCAGTATTTTTTGGGCCCTAGGTACAATCCTTATCACAGCACAAAATGAGCAAAGAACAATTTCCAGATTCTAATTAAACCTACAGTACAATGGGAGAGGACTGGTTTAATTCATGTGTATTTTAAGCAAATTTGAATATTCTCTAGGATTCGTTTTTTTTTTTTTTTTTTTTTTTTACCATTCAAAGGCTACCTGATAACGTCATATTTAATTTTCTGAGTATGTCTTGAAAGACAAATCTATGGAAGTGTTTGTTTACTTTAAATGACAAATAAAGGTCTAAATTTACCAGTCAACGACATTTAGAACATTTTATGGAAGAAAATAACAGATCAACTTATAAATGAATTATCATGGCTTAGTAAATGTCTCTTTTACAAGAGATTTTTAATCATACTAGGAGATGTTTATATTCTTTTTTTTTTTCTTTTAAGAAGGAAAACCATTTGCTGCTGAAGTAGAATAAGACACCTTTACAGTAGGACTAGTGCATTTCACACCTGCACTGTCAAAGAGTGATCAGTTCCAGCCCATAGAGGCCACCTCTGCAGCCTCGTTGGTTGCAGCGCCCTCCAGCTGCTGTTCGTGTGTGGTGCAGCAAAATGATCTGAGTGTTGTTGGAAAAGAAAATGTAGATCCGGATTTTCATCTGTTGGGGTTTAAATGACATACAGTAGGTAACAGCTGAGGTTACCCTTCAGAGATGAGACCCGAGGGAGAAAGAGGTCACAGAGAAAACAAGGGGAAAACACAAGCAAGAATCAGTCAAAAGAATATGTTATGACATAAAAAAAATCCTATGCAATATTCCCACTCGTGATGGACGTTTTTTGAATTTCAACACCAGTGTTGTTGAGTTGGGATGGATGAAATGTAACGTTCATATCTTAAACCTGGACAACAAATAATTAGTTAGCTTGTAAGTAATATTGCAAACTCATGGATATGTAAAAGCCTTATCAGAATAAAACATACACAAAAAAATATCACAGTTGTGGTATATACCATCTTCTTTTTATCCATGTGTTTAATTAAAAGTTTAATTTTAAAGGTCAACAGGCCTAAGGCTTAACATTGCTTTGGTTTTACATTATATTCTAATCATCAGCTTAAATAATGACATATATTTGTTGCTTTTAAAGCATATTCTTTTTGAATAAATGTCAATGTTATTATAAATCCTTCTGTACTATCAACAAAAAAACAACAAAAAATGAATCATACCATTGGACAATTTTGTCTAGTTTGTTTAGTTTAATTTCTAGTTGTAATCAATAGCTCAATGCCTTACAAGCAATACTTGTCATTCTGATCAGAGGCGTAGCCAGAACATTTAAATAAGGGTGTCCAGGCAATAACAAATGAACACTGAGAGGTGGCCAAAAGCGGATAAGTGCCAAAACCTTGCGGTCAATCTCTACTGTTCCAAAAAGAACATTAACGAGAAAAAATTTTATATTTTCTAAATAAAGACAAACTATACTTTCCCACAGCCTTTGCAAACAAATGCAGGAATATATTCAAATATCTGTGCTTTCTCCATAAAAGGTATAGTGGATAAAACTCTTTCAGGTTTGAGTTTTGGGTGAACATCTTTTCCATTGTCATTACTTACCTACTTTTATTAACAATTATTCTGCATAAAATTGATATTTACAAGCACTAATATCTACATAAATTGATCATTTAATAAGCTTTTATTAAAATATTTATTTATCTATGATTTCACTGAAGACTTGCAGAGACACATCATTTTGTCTTTACCTCATAAAACCTAAAATCTAGTTCTGAAAAGAGCATGAATTCTGTACTTATCATCTTTAATGTTAGTATATTGATGTGCATAATTAACCGCAGTGTTTTTTTTTTTTTTTATGTTTTGCCACCATCTGTATTAGAGGGAAATAAAAGGTAGGGGTGGCCAATGATTGGCTAAGGGTGGCCATGGTCACCCCTGGCCCCCTTCTGGCTCCGCCCCTGGTTCTGATGCCCTCTTTTACCTATCTGGCCTTTGCTTATTACCGTGAAGCTGTAAACCCCTCCTGCTGGCAGCAGATTGGTCAGCTCCGGTGGACCCCCAGTACCCTCACCCTGCCAGCTGTTGCTGAGCCATGTATAAGATCCAGGGGCCCCAGGCTCACTGCTGCTGAAAGAACAGAAATCAAGCATCACTTCTCTGCTGTTGCCCAAATACTTCAATTGGAAGCTGGTTGTTTGCTTCTGCACTCTGTTCTGTATTCTTCGGACCCACTTATGGAGTTGTCGGATATTTCCTTCCCCAGCCCCGCTGTGGATGATTTCTATGATGACCCCTGCTTTAACACCAGTGACATGCGCTTCTTCGAGGACCTGGACCCGCGGCTGGTGCATGTGGTCCCGCTGAAACCTGAGGACTCCTCCTCTTCCTTATCATCCTCCTCCTCCTCCTCCTCACCTTACTCCCACCTGCATCATCACCTTCAGCGCGCAGAGGCGGAGGATGAGGAGCACGTCCGGGCCCCTAGCGGGCACCATCAGGCGGGCCGCTGCCTGCTGTGGGCCTGCAAAGCTTGCAAAAGGAAGACCACCAATGCAGACAGAAGAAAGGCCGCGACCATGCGTGAGCGGAGGCGGCTCAGCAAAGTTAACGACGCCTTCGAGACTCTGAAGCGCTGCACGACGGGCAACCCCAACCAGAGACTGCCCAAAGTGGAGATCCTACGAAATGCCATCAGCTACATCGAGTCTCTGCAGGCGCTGCTTCGAGGCGGACAGGAGGAGAGCTTCTACCCGCTGCTGGAGACATACAGCGGGGACTCAGACGCGTCCAGTCCGCGCTCCAACTGCTCCGATGGAATGGTAAAAAAAAAAAAAAAGATCTTTAGTGTTTACCTGCTTAGTTGTCTCATTGGAAAAAAATATAAAATAAAGGTAAAGACTGTAATTAATTTTGAACATGAACTCGTGGGATGTTTAACTTATCAGGGCAGCACCTTAAAATAAATTTATATTTTTACGCGTTTTCCTTCACGGTTTTGCGCACAAAATAAACTGCTTTGGCTGTTTCTAATTCTTAATTCGACTTTTTATGAAGCAGGCTGCGCAAAAAAAAAATCCCAACTAAAATTAACCTGCGCCCTAAAATCCGAATTATATAATATATATCCAAACTATGTAATAATAATAATAATAATAATAATAATAATAATAATAATAATAATATGTAGCCTATATAACTTTTTGTTGGTGCGGTTTTTTCATCGATGTATAAATAAAAAAATATTGTTTGGTTTGACACGCGTCAATTTACGCGTCATTTTATCTGCAGTCAGAATATAAAACCTGGTTTTAAGGCTTTCGGAGTCACATATGGTGGAAATGCTCTGATGTTTCATTTTTATTTTTGTTTGTTTGTTTTTGTTTCAGACAGATTATGACGGTCCAAACAGGACAAGAAGCTTTGGCAGCGGTTCAATATTCTCTGAGAAACCAATCGGTGAGAAGAATCTCCAGTTTAACAGAGTTTCTGAAAGAGGAAAACGTTGGATTGCTCTTTTCTAAAAATGAAATAATTCATAGTAGCCTAAGAGCCATGAAAATGTGGAAAGAATCATATGTATAAATAAATGCATGTTTGTTGTTCTGGCTGTTTGCAGCTGATCCAAAGAGGGAGCGCAGCTCCATGGTTTCCAGCCTGGACTGCCTGTCCAGCATTGTGGAGCGGATCTCCACGGTCAGCAGCAGCGAGGCAGGAAAGGCACCTGCGCTCATCCAAATCCCCTCCCCGACCACCAACCAGGACCCAGACCCCATCTATGAAGTCCTATAGAGACTCTGACTCAATGTCAGCTGGGAAGTCAGTGTGCTGCTTTGATTGTAGAGCTCACAGAAAACCACTGTAACTAAAAAAAACTATTATTTAATTTTTTTCTATTTAGAAGAGTCTTCACCAGCTGTTTGTGGCTACAAGCCTTGTTTTTACTTCATGTCAAAGCTCATTTCTGCCCAGAAGAAAGTCAGTTACCTAAGCCTGTAAGATTATTTTTCAAATCAGCTTTTTTCGTAATTTAAAATTAATTTAAAATTGATAAGTGTATTTTATATTTTATTTTAGTCTTAATTAAAAGATAAATCTCAAATTTTTCATGTCAAAATTGTCTAAAAAGCTAAATTAATAGAACAAGGTAAAATGTTATTATAACTTGTTTTTACTTTTATTTTTGTGATATTTTACTGGTATTTATACATATAAAAGTACTATTATGTACATTTTTCTTTCTAAAACTGGGACCTTGGCAGAAAATTGTCAAAAATTGGGCAAAAAAAATCCTAAACTGAAAATGGTTTATTTTCCAGCCGCAAAAGAATTTCAAAGACTATATTATTTCACTGCAATCAAAGTCTGTTTTACTAATATCCTTTCTTTTCAGCCGCACTTTTTTTTTTTTTTTTAGGTTAATGCATTTGATGAACTGAAGCTATAAACCATCCATTAACATTCCTTCATTTTTCCATATAAATCCTAAATAGATAGGAACACAGGAACAAACATTAAACTACAACTCATGTTCCTAAAGTGAAATCTGATGAAACAAAGTTAACACAGACAAGTTAACAAAATGTACTTATATTTATTTTTTACATTTCTACCACTGGGCTTCATCTTGCACCCATTTTGCATCCTGTCAAAATCCAGGTTCACAAGTCTTTTAGCTACTGCAGCACATTGTATATATACTTTTTTCGTTTCCTTATGTATTTTGTAAATAAGAGCCCATTTGTTGAATGGGAAGTTTTTCCATTGTATTTAACGTTTGTATTTTTTATTGTTTGTCTTGAAGAGATTGCCACCTTTATATTTATACAGCTGAAAATTGTTTGAAAGCCTAAAGACAAAATAAAATGATTTTACTGGAATATTTATAAAGAAGAGATTGATTGTAATTGTAACATTTGTTATTTATGACTTTACACCAGTGACTTAAGATGATTAATTCTTGTTTTTATTTGAATAAGAGATTTGCGGATAATTATCCCCAATGAACTGGTGTTGAAAATTTCTGCTTTAAAGACTGAGAAAGTCCTTGAAGTAAACTTTTCGCTTTGATCGTTTTTATCTTAGACTGTAATAAAGTGTTACATGGACAACTAATGTACTACAAAACAGCCCTTAACAAACTGCAATCTCTTTAAAAGAAAGGAAAAAACAACAGTTATTACAAATTGAAACATTTTTGTTTGAAAAGAGACTGCATGAACTCTTCCTATTTTTACTGATCCATTCTCAACAGTTAATTTTAGCCTTCAGTTTAAGCAATAGGAAATCTGACATTTTCACCTGTTTCACATTCGGTAGGTTAAATCTGTCAACGTTAAAACATCAGTTGATGTCTTGGAAACCCTTTAATAATACCAGGGATTCATCTAAAAACAGTCCATGTGAGTGCCTAGCTGAAATGATTGTTACCTCTTAAAAAAGTTATTATATTTCCTTTTAGCAGGGTAAAGTTAGAAATGCGATTCTTCTGTATTCCGAATATTTATTTTATTGTTGTACATTCTCTAAATCAGTGATCAATGTATTACTTTCATGTCCTTTGAAGAATGATTTTGCTAAATTAAGAATACAATTATCTGTTTGAAACAATGTCAGTGTTTTATCTTAATAGCAAAATAACAGATGAATTAAAAACTAGTCTGCTCAACAAAACTTGACATTTTAAAGGTATAGTGGAGGATTTTCATGAATTCTTGAAAAGACCAGTCCTGTCCCTCTCCACTTTTAAAAAGAAATGCTCATGCAGAATTCTGTGCCTGCTCCCAGGAGGGAACGCCTATTAAACACAAGCAAGAGCGTGTATGAGCCTATTTTTCCTCGTGCAAGCTCTGTTTAAAGGTTACTGTTTGCAACGCTCATACAAGCTTTCCTTCCAAAAGAAGATTTGCAATTTTTCCACTATGTCAGATTCACCACAGGTAAGTGAAAATGGAGACGAGCACATAGGACTGCCTAACGTAAATATATCACCAGAATGATTGACAATTAGGAGGACCACTTATTTTGATGATCCACCCAGAAAAACAGCATCCTCTTTTTTTATATCAATTCATTGATTAATTAATTTGTTGTTTTCTGGTTTGGAGGAATTTAGGATCATGACATGTACTGTAAATTAGTGGTTAGGACCAACCAAAACATCTCTGAGCTTCTAAACAGCTGTAGGCCATCTATTAATAAACATTGCACATTTTGCAGATAAATGCATCCAGACTTTAATGATTTGAGGTTTACATCAAATTTCAAGCATCTTACAATATTTTTCATTTAAAGCTGCAGTCTGTAACATTGAGAAGAGAGCAGACTTCGACTGAAAATTTGAAGAAAAACAGGTTTCACGCCACTCCCCCACCCTCTCTGCTTCACTCATGCCCCACCTCCAAGCTCCACCCCTCTCACAGCATCTGCGCGGCTACCGCATGCAACCAGAGGGGGGGGGGGGGGGGGGGGGGGGGGGGGAGATTCAGCGTGTGTGAGCTGTGATTGACACTCCATCAGACGCTCCTCTGGCTGTGATTGGTTGTTTTGACTCGTCCCGAATTATTCTTTCCAGATTGAAATACAGGCAGTAGGCGGGACCAATTGAAGCAGTTTTTTTCACAGGTTACATATCACATGTACTGCTGTCTGGGCATAGGGACAGTTTTAGCCAATATGACAAAAAAGTGATTTTTAAAAACTTACAGACTTCAGCTTAAACTGGTTAAACTTTTAGAAGTGAATTCGTAAATTTAAACGTATCTGTTTACTTGATTGGAAATTTTTAAATTTAAAGTATTTAGGATGTCCCAATAGAACTTTTTAATTTCCAGTTTGGTATCGATGTTGCAGCTTTGAGTATTGACTGATATCGATATTGAACAGATACGATATCAGCACAATTCTTAGATACTTTTATTTATTTATTTTTTTTGTAGTGTGGAATGTCAGAAGAGGTTTGATTATGGGATTTAACCCCAAAAATAAAACAGTAGTCAACAGCAATGTGTTGGAGAACAACTGACCCATTTATTACTCTCCAATGGGTGACAGAAACTTTAAACAGAAAGCAGAATGTTTCTATCAGCAACCTCATATCTGAGATTTTAGATACAGGCCAGTATATTCTGATACACATTTTCTAGCTAATATTAGACCGATTTCTGATATCAGTATCGGATTGGGACATCCCTAAGAACCGTTTCTATGGCAAAGAAGGCTGAGAACCAAATTTCAGTCTTCATTGTTTTGTACAAGACATTTAGAATCAAAGCAATCTAATTAAGAAGAAAATAAAGATACGTTTTTTTTTTCAAATTTGAATGAACTGGATGATTGAAACATTGACCTGAATGCCGTTTCCTGCATAGAAAAAACAAAATAGTGGTGAACAGAAAGCTTTTAAGATTGCACATCTGAAAAGACCATACTTTATGAAATTCTAAATAACTACAGGCATGGCTTGAAGAGTCACACTTTATTTACAAAATTACTGAGAACCACAGAGTTGATGGTGAGGAGCATGATATAGGTTGAGTAGTTTTTCTTCCTAGTGAACAGCAGCTTAAGGCTCCTGGTGGCTTCGGGACATGGCTGAGAAACAACAGGGTGAACCTCAGCTTTACTAGTTTCTTCAGAGGTGTAACCTTCTCCACAGTGCGCTTTGCTTCATCCTTTATGTGTTCATGATGATGGCAGTTTGGTTTGCAAGCACTAGTGGGCTCAGCCAATCTACTTTCTGCGGCGAGCGGCTCCCTTCTTGCTGCTGTAATTCCAAAAACAAAGTAGGGAGACATATCAGATCTGTGACTTCTCGTTTTTATTGTCAGTAGAAGGACATTATGGCAGATATTCAATGAGGAGCGTCGTGTCATTGGCTTAATCATTTTAAGAAACAGTCAACATTAATTATAAACAAATTAGACTCTCACACCCTTTAGAAAGTAAACCATTTAAAGAATATACGGTAAATGAAACCAGACTTTCTGAGAACCTACTGTTCTCAGTTCATTTGCAGCAGCGTCATTAAAAAATGATTGTTTTGGTTGATTTTAGGGGTCTGATTAGAAATGTGTAAAATGGTCCGTCTAATTATCTAACTAAGCTTTTGCACAGACATGTTCCCAGGATATGTTAAAGACTTTTACCTTTTAGTAGTGTTAAACTCAATATTATATCAGGGCACTGCTGCATTATCAAGTCCTTAAAGGACAGCTGTAGAGAGGAAACTTTTGAGTTCATCATTTAATTTAGAGAAATCCCACTGCTCTGGAATAAATATCCTTAAATTGATTTAGAACATTTTAGCCATGTTGTATGTTTAAAAGAACATATGCCTTAAACATAAGACTTTATCTGGTATTTATGGCTCTTGAGGACTGGATTAAGCGAAGATGTAGGGATTGAGTTTGACACATGTGCTTTAGATGTTCCTATGACGCATCTTTCCACTCATGGGGAGAGAACTTTTTACGTTGTTGCTCCAAAACTCTGAAACAATGTTCATTTTACTGTAAGGAAAGCTGATTATTTGAATGTTCTTCAGTTCCTTTAAAAAAAAAAAAAAATTTTTCACTTTGAGTTTAATCCAACTTGAACAGAAATATTAGGCTGTTTTAACCACTGGCTTCAGTTTTATTTTTTTTCTAAAGAACACACAAAAAACAGTTTATGCCTGAAAAATCCATGTAAAGTAATTGCCATAAAAATTATGTTCCCATGTTTAGTAGCAACGTTGAGTTTTAAAGCAAAAAAATCTAGTTTTAAGTAAACAAAGACTATTAAATAGGAAATTGAGTGAATTTCTGTAACCCAGTTTCAGTCATACCCACACCTGCTTCATTCTAAAGTCAGAACTACTGAATCAAACTCACAAACAAAAAGCTGTGGTTAAGTTCATCACCCAGAATCACATTTACATGTGACAGTAGGAAACTGTGATCAAACTCAACATTTTCAGATTTTCTACTAAACAGCGAGGATCCACAATTATGTTTGACTTTTTTTGTGTAATGCATATTGGGAGGTTTAGACCCCTAAGTAATAAAATTATTTGGGGAAGGTTGTAGATTGCTTTTCAGACATCCTTTCATGCTGACATGACATAAGCCTGGCAGACTAGAATATTTTCTGTCTGACTTACAATTTACTGAGCTCCTCCACTCTCTTGCGCAGTCTTGTAACCTGGAGAGAATGAAATAACATTAAAATGTTAATCTCTGGAGAAATATGACCTAAAACTAACCGTTTTAAATGAGTGAAATGAAAGTTGGTGTTCACAGCAGAAACACAAATATTTCCTGATCTAAGTTATATTCTGAACTTGATACTTGCAAAATAACATCCAACTTTCAAATTGTTTCTTGTATTTTATGTCTAAAAAGTAAAAAAAAAAACTGCCATTAAAAAACTAAATTACATTCTTAAGGAGAGAGCTTTTAGTAAATAAGTTATTCACATTCTAAGGTATGGTTTTAAAAATGAAACTAACAAGAGGTTATTGTTGTGAATTTGTGCTATTTAAAACAAATAGAAACTGAATTAAAATTAATAGTTTCATACTAAGAAGATAAAGGAATTATGTTATTGGTCATTTGAGTCTGTAACCTGCATCTTAGCATGAGAAGTTTGATTCTTAAGGCAGCAAAATGTGAACATTTGAGCCAAAGACACTCTTCTTACATCGTATTTCTGCAGCTTGAGTTTCTCCATGTGGTCAAACTTCTCAGACTCCAGCTGGCGCATCCAGTCGTAAAGTTCATTGATCTTGTCCCTGTTAAGAATTAATAATTAGTCAAAATACGTCATACTCATTTACATCCTAAGAAAAGCTCTGATTGCAGTTTTAATTCTATAACACTATTTGTTTAAGACACTACTTTATAAATTGTAGAGGAAAAGTAAAATACTAAACTGTGAAGCAGGAATAAATATCAGACTACACACCTGGATTTGCTTTATAAAAGCATTATTCATTTCTAAGCATAAGTTTGCAAGATGTGGTTTGCAGCATATCTAATATTACAGCCTGAATGGCTTACTTTCTTAACAAGAGAACACTACTCCCCCTAATTAGTTACAGAAAATCAGTCATACTTCAGCTTGTCCTCGTTCAGGTGGTCAATGTTGAGTTGCTTGCGTCTAGCAGCCAAGATCTTCTTTTTCTTCTCTCTCTCAGTTTCTTTCTTTCCTCCTCTCTTCTGGTCAGCCTGTTCAGTGCAGTACAGATGAAGGCTCAGAGCAGATCATCATTCTCTGTTGTTCATGGACAGCATAAGGATAAACATACTGACCCTCTGCAGGTGACTGCTGTAGCCGGACCCCATGCTGGACAGAGCCGACTTTTTCTTAGCGTCGTCATCAGCCTTCTTCTTGGCATCAGCCTCCTCCCTTATCCTCCTCTCCTCCTGTGTACACAAAAGTAATCCACAAGCTAAACTTCTTAGTCTACCCCTAAACCAACAAGGTGACACCATAGCCACAATTATCAAGGGAAGTATACATCCAAAGGCAACATATGAAATCATGAACACAAATGTTGCTTTTAAGAATAACCAACCTCACGTCTGGCCTGGCGCTCCTTGTCCTTTTCAGCACGAATCCTCTGCTGCTCGGCCCTCTCAGCACGACGCTTTTCCTAAAGGTTCGGAAGAAACAGATCTCAGTAAAAAGACTGTAACCAGGGTCTGCCACATATATGTGTTCCAAATAGCTAGGAGACAGATTCTGTAAATGTCGAGTTAAGAAAAATGTAGGCCCATATTTTTTATAATTGGACCATTTTCTCAAACATTTATTAAAGCTACAGTGTGTAATTTTCAGCGACATCTAACGTTCAGACTGCAGACTGCAGCAACATGAACGTCTCCCCCCCCACCGCTTCTCCCCCCCAACAGTACGGCGAGCGTTACGGGACAAAATGTCTTCCACGACGTCGGAATCACCTACCTTCTCAAGTGATGAGGTTTGTTTACATAGATAATTTTACAGATAGTATTTCATTAGTCTGTGTAGGGTATAGATTTCATGTAGACTTTAGATAATAAATATACCCGTTATTTTTTCTACGTCGTTGTGACGTTTTGGTGAGCTGCTTTGCATGGTGATATAAACAAACAAAGTAATTGTAGTCATTAGTTTAACAGCGAGATTGTGTTCGCTGGAAGAATATTTATTCCCCGTTCACAGAGTCCAAGTCTTGTTTGTGGCACGGGGGTTACAAGGCGAGGAAGAGGGAGAGGAAGAGGGCGAGGAAGAGGGCAGAGAGGCCGGGGTGGGCGTGCAGCTAGGGCCAGGCGAGAGAGGGGAGCCAGCGGGGTGACTAGAGCAGAGGAGGAAAGGCTTGAAGATCTCCAAAGGAGCCGGAGAGAAGTAACCGAGGTATATATCCAGAAAATTAATTTACAGAAAATTACTGAATCATTACCTGTGAAACGTCAGGGACGTTGCTGAATAAGTATACTGGAGAGTAACAGCATCATCACGCAGCATGTTATTGTTTTAGACAGGTCTGAGCATCCTGTACTCCAAAAACTGCAGTGATATTAGACAATTGTGTGTGTAGGATTAATTACCTGTCCAAGAGAAAACTGGCAACTTGAGCGTCACTTTGAAAACCTTTTTCCTCCATCAGTGACTTCCATCGTGTAAATGCCGTGCCAATGTTGATCCGTGTCTTTTGTCGTTTCTTGTCACGCTTGCGTTTATTCTCGTCGTGTTTCCGCTTCTTAGATGACGGGGGTTCGGTGTCCGCCGCTTTTCGTTGTGATACAGAGTAGGCCTGATCCTCCATTCGTCTGATGTTTGGCCACACAGTGCCAAGCAGTTTGCAAAGTCACTCACGCCTGCCGCCTTGTTCACCTTTCTTGTTACTGAGGCGCAGTATACCTGCTTCTTCTTCTTCTTTGGTTTCAGGCAGACTAAACGCTTCTCAGGCATAGTACTGCCGTCTACTGTTCAGTACCGTCTCAGTTAATCTCTCTCAACTTGCCGTAGTTATTTTCGAGCGTAATGGGAGATCTCGCAATCGCTAGTTTGTTGCCTCTGCGCTTGCCGTAGCGCAAAGATGTCTGCCTCCATGGCTGCGAGACCCGCTCCTATGTAATTATAAATAACGAATTCTAAGGCAACGCAAATATTATGGTTAAAAGGCTGAGCTCATAGGTGATAATAAATAACATAGTTATGTATAATATATTAAATTTCTGACTTTATATCCCTGTAATTATTACACACTGTAGCTTTAAAGAATCTGTCAAAATTACATCTTCATGAATATCAGATACTTTGCAGCAATTATGATCGGAAATTAAGAAGCTGAAGCAGTAAAGACATAAATTAATCAATTAATTGTAGTATAGTGCACTTAAAAGATTAGATATTTGTTCATGTGGTTAATGTCAAGGTATTGTTTCTGTGTTTGTCTCGGTCACACAGCAAAATATTTATATTTTCTAGCAAACCTTCAGGACTCGGGCTTTGTAGAGCTTATATTCATAGACTTACTCTGCATGTGTCACTATAACGATGAAGAAAATCTACTTAAATCAACAAGTCAGACTCACAATTCTCTCCTTTAGTGCAATCAGCTCCTCCTCCTCCTTCTTCCTGCACTCAAAGTGAGCATCGATCAGGGCCTGCAGCTCCACCAGATCCTTGTTCTGACGTTTCTTCTGGATGTCCTGCACAGTGAAAAAAAATTAATTTAGCAGTCAGCAGTAAATATTAGAGATAAACCAAGAACCTTCTTACTGTCATTTTAGTCACACTTACATCAAAGTCCACTTTCTCACCATCTGGGATCTTTGGAGCGCTGGGCCTATAACACAGTGCATTTGTTTTGTTTTTTGAGTGCAATGGTATGCATGTAACTGTTGTTATTAATATCTCTTTTTGTCTAATGTTTAGCATGAATACAGGTGAATGTATGGAGGAAACTTACTTGAACTTTGGCTTCTCCTCTGCAGGTTAAAAAATGAAGAGGGGGTGAGTAAATGTCATTGGGTTAGGAGGGACAGTTCTTTTGGGCATTACAGAGATCATACTGTATGGTTGCAATTTAAAATGGCAGATGAGATTATTCTGAATATGTATAGCTTATTGACTTAAAGGTTAGAGGAGAAACGAGAACAATGATACACAGGTAGATTAAAAGCCAAAATTATATACTTTAAACAACAAAGTGTGTGAGAATCAAGAGGCAGTTAAATTTAACCGTTAATACAACAAATCTTTAAATTAGTCTCTTTCTTTCTTTCTTTCTTTCTTTCTTTCTTTCTTTCTTTCTTTCTTTCTTTCTTTCTTTCTTTCTTTCTTTCTTTCTTTCTTTCTTTCTTTCTTTCTTTCTTTCTTTCTTTCTTTCTTTCTGTCTGTCTGTCTGTCTGTCTGTCTGTCTGTCTGTCTGTCTTTCTTGTTTTTGGCTTGACCCCATAAACTTGTTTGATTACTTTCTATCAAACCATGTTCTGGTTGTCCTGACCATGCATTTGATGTGGTAGAGAACAGATGCAGATGGGCTTCCAGACCAAAGGGCTTTAGCAGGAGGTCCCACTGAGTTTTAGATATGTAGAGAACCATTTTAATTAGACCAAACCACATTATAAAAATATAACAGAAGTTCTTTGATTGGCATTAGAATACCATTTTGGTTGCAGTTTCTTAGATTAAAAGTGTCCTTTTAACAGCAGGAACAAACTGCAGATTATCCTCAATTACTATGAATATAGGCAGGATTTAAAGCACAGAGCTGGACTCCTGCTTTTGGTCTGGAAGCCCCTTAGGTTGGCTTTGCATGAAATCATGGGTTAGTAAAACATATTCTTTCACTCTTTTCTCTCCAATAACACTTTTAATTTTTACTATGGATTCATTATTATATTCTCTTTGAAAACCTGATGTCTTATCCCCAGTACTCTATTAGCTGGTCTGTGCTCCTGAGCTACCTCAGTAACTCCTGACAGAAACAAACCTTAAACCAGAACACTGACATATCACCAAAACCAGAAGAATCCATTTCATATCCATCAAATATTTGTAAATGCACGTACCTTCCTCTTCAACTCAACGACTTCGGCATGCAGCAAGCATTTAATGAATAAAAGAATACCATTGCACATCAAAGAGGAGATCTCATTCAAACAATGTAGAAAAATATCCTGAGGCACAACTTTAGTAAATACTTAGATATGGAGGCTGGATTGTTTACAATGGCTGTATCAATCAACTGTTTGGGTAAATACGTGTAAGTTCAACATTTTCCGATATTAGATAATCTTAAGATTAAAAATGTAAAGAAATAAAGCAGAAGATGAGCTTTTTTTAATTAAAAGCAATAGGGTGTATTAATTTTTGTCAGTATGAGGAAAATATCAAACACATAAGTTAAGCATTCTGACGGCAAGTCATTTAGTAGGGTGAGTAAGTCAAACTTATAAGTAGTTCTTTCATCAGATTAAGCCCATGACTTCGGATCTCGGCTTCTCTGTGGACTTAGCATGTTTTCCTCATGGATACATGGATTTTCTCTGTGTACTCCTGCTTCCTCCCACTGCTCAAATCATGCTGAGTAGATTAACTCTGCAATTGTCTTTAGGTATATGCAGATGGCTGTTTCTCCTGTGTGTCTCTGTCATAGATGGACTGGTGAACTGTCCAGGTAGTTCCATCAATACTCTTTAATTCAAGGTACCTCCATATACAGCTCTATATAAAAACACTAATGTGTTTTCACTAAATGTAACTATATTATGTTGTATAATATTCAGTAACATATTACTGTATTCCACTAAAACATATATTTTCATTTGGGGCCTGATTGTTGATATGTTTTATATTCAAATATTGAATAATATGGGACCTTTATGAGGTCATTCCACCTACACTCCTTTAACAATATGTAAAAGCATTGTGTTTGAGTTTGTCCAGAGGTGAAAGGAAGGTATCATGTGCAAACATCATCTAAATGTTTGTGGAACAGGATTAGAGGGGTCTTTGCACCTGATGCCTGGAAAGGGATAGTAAAATAACCCCCTCCCCCCTCTTGCCACATACCTTCAGACTCAGGCTCTGGTTCTGGCTCTGGTTCTACCACTGGTTCTGGTTCTGGTTCAGGCTCTGGTTCTACCACTGGTTCTGGTTCAGGCTCTGGCTCTTGTTCTGGCTCAGGGGCCACCTCAGGGGCAACCTCTACCTCCTGTACTACCTCCTCTTCTATAACTAAACAGCATGCAGCAAATCACCAGGGAGGAGACGGTGGGGGGGGGGGGGGGGGGGGGAGCAGGATTTTAATAGAAGCAGGGGAGAGAGGAAAGGGGAAAGAGGTGAATGTTTAAAGTTCTGTACATGAAAAGGAACGTGAGAAAAAGAGGTTAATGTTGCTGCTTTTTGGTCAACCTCCATAAGATGTCGCCAAAGCACATAAGACAGCAAGCATTGGAACAAAAGATAGCATTGATGGATAAAATGGAATTAAAGCTGAAATGCCATTTTAATTTTTTAAAATGTTTTTTACAAAGACCGTTAATGTTAAACAACATGCTCCATAAACTACAACCGTAGGAACTTACAAGTGGGACATGAATTAGTTATTTAATGTTATGGTTGGTAGTTTGCCGGCTGTCTTACCATCGTATTCTTCATCCGAGAAAGGAAGGATAAGAAGAATATTATCATTTCATCCCATGTGTACCCGTTTCTTTTTTAAATAGAATGAATATGAAAATGATGGGTACAATGGGAATTCATGCTAAGCAAAACAAAGCTGTCCTTTTGTGCTGATCAGATCTTAAAGGCAGGACTTAAGGTGATTTTTTTTATATTGAAGTTGTGCTCAGCTCAGAAGGATGGCTCAAACTGCAAATAATCATGCAGAGCTAGAATGACTATTTGCAAACAGCCCAGTGAAAATGATTTCAAGTTGAATTTAATTTCAAACAGCATGGTGAACATTTTTGCCAGTATTGCAACCATCTAAGTACTACAGCAACAGTAACATTTATTTTGCTTTTGACAGTTTGAATCTGGAGGAGTCAAGCCAAACCTGCAAACAGACAAAACTGTCCAGTGTTCAGAGTTAATTCTCTATAGAAAATGGAAAGTATGTGAGAGAGTGTTCAGAAACAACAGTCAGATTTAGCATGGAGCTCCCAATTGTACCTGGGCTAGATTTTTATTTCCATCAATTTATACAAAATGTTGCAACTTACCCTCGACCTGCTCTCTGCAAAACATAAGAAAAACACAGGTTAGCATTAGCAATGCTCAGCACTAAAAAATAAAACATTTTAAAAGAAGAAAATTAATGCTGCTTTAAAGCTGTAGCTGGTTTCTTTTTGTCAAAAATAATCACAAAATTAAAGATTTGAAAACTTACACTTCCTCTGTGTCAGACATGGTGGCAGTGGACTTTGAAACCTTAAAACCAAAGAAAAGAGAAGATCTTAAAATCTGTCTTAAAGAAGCAACTGCCCAACATGTTGTATTTATAGCTCAGGATTAAGTTGCAGATGCCTTAAATATGTGCTACAGACTCCACCCTAATTGCACTGCAACCTGTTTACTCTCTCATATTCCTTTCCAAGTGGAAAAAATAAAACAAGCCTGGCTACATCAGATTCTTTTCAAATATTATTTACCATGGATGCAATATTGTCAGCATTTCCTAAATAATGATATCCAGAAATATAGGTTTATAATTAGGGTAAATTCTTTGCCTGAAATATGAGCGTTAGTCAAACATCTGCTTCTCTCGTGATAAGTGAGAAGGAGACTATACATAGATTTATGCCATTAGTCCTTTTTTAACTACTGAGAGAGGAGAATAATATTCCAGTGGACAAGAAATGGTCCCCAGTAGTAGTGTTACAGTTCAACCACCTGTCCCCTCATGTCATCTTATATTTAGTATATAATGTGTTAAAGTAGATTAAGTCATTAATTAGGCAAAGTTCATAGGTTTTATATGTTGGCTTATATATTTTTTTACTATGTTTAAAATATGTTTTGGCATTTCATTAGGGCCAAATTTGCTACTTGGTGCAGCACAAATCAAAAACTAACAATAAAAAATAGTATGTGATGATACTCATCATTGAATCCCTTTCTAATAAAATATGGGGTTATATGTCTTGTTTATATTATAAATCCTGAAATTATGAGGCCACCATCAAAACGTCCTGACATTAGCACTTTTTTCACATGACAGCTGGCCAGGTCTCAGATCCAGTTTCACTTTGCAAGATGTTTAAGATTGGATTCTCTCCTTTCCTCTAGTACCAGCGTCTGTCCCTTATGTGGTTTTCCTGCTCTCACATGGTTCCTTCAATCATCCTCAAGGCTCCCTGTTGTCTGATGCCCCTTTACTTGAGATCTATAACTCCTAAAAGATTTACAAAGGTGAAGGTTCTCTTGCCTGATTTAAACTCATTAATGTCATTTTGGGAATGCAGGTAAAATGTTTCACTTCTAAAGCATGAAGTTTGTTGTCTAGGTCTTGTGACCTGATTTACATGTTAAAGTGTTTATAATTAAGTTATTTGATTCATACAACTTTAATGTCGCTTTGGAAAGTTGCCAAGGGATGTAGTTATCAATGAAATTTGCAGTTTATAAAACAGCTGATCCGGACATAAAATCAGCAGAGAAAAAAATCAACAACTTTTTTTCTGCACCCTACAACAGAAAGTTGCATCAAATGTTTTAAGCAATCTGTAAATCACTCTGGCCACTGAGTCAAACGAGATTCCATCCAAGTCAACACTAATATGCTTCATATCTGCCCAGAAATCATTTTTTTTTGCATGGTGTCTCCACGCTAAATATAAAACACATAATCCTCTTTACAATTAATCAAGTTAATATCAGCTCCTCAGGCATCCAACACACATCTAAAGAAGAATGTATTACAGTAGCTTTTACGTTTTTTTTACAATAAAGCATTTTTTGATGATCTGCTTAACACTGATCTTTTCCCCTGCTTCAACAGGTAGTAACAGTGAACTTAAGATGCCTGAGCTCTCATCATGATGAGGAATGTTTTATGACATTGCACTTGAACTTCCATCCTCATCCACACACCCAGTCACTCCAGTTCTGCCTTACCTCAGAAAAGCTGAATGAAGTGAGCTCCCTGTTGGCCGAGACAGGCTGTAGGGTTCTGCAAACTTACCACCGTGATTATGTCCTTCTGTTATAGTGACACCTGATCTGTTCAACCTCCCTATTGGCCAAAGAACTGGTTTTGGGATACACGTTTGTCCCTGTCATGGGGTAGGATCGATGTCTTCAGTATATGCCCGCCCCCTAAACAAGTGCTCAATAAGGAGATAGAAGGGTTGAATGCTAAGGAGGGAGGCTCTACTTTGGTTAGAGCAACAGCAAAGATGCCTACAGAAGGCTATTCTGGTACTGCTACATTAGGAAAGCATATTTCTTCTAAGACAGATGAGAGCAGAATGTCATTAACAGCATGGTTTTTTTTAAATCATAAGTGACACAAACACAGTATTAAGCTAAGGTTTTTGATGCAGAGAATTTAAATCAAGAATGCTTTTTTTTGGTCTGAGTGTGAAAGTGTGTGTCTGTCTCTTTTGGTAATATTTAATGATTTTGATTGATATCTTGATTTGCTTGACGTTTAATTTGACTGTCTTGACTTTTCTTAAATTGTTTTGGACATTGAGGTGGAGGTGTTAGTCTCACACCATTATTGTTTAATGAATTCCGGATCTGGTAGAATTCACAGATCCACAAAGTTAGAAAGTTATTTCTTGTGAGCTATTACTTGTCAGCTATTAGGGTGCTAATGAGCCACAGCTCCATTGATGCTGGAATCTTAGCAAGTGGCTTTGTAAAAAGTTCTGACATTGAAGTTCATTCTGCTTTCCACCAGATGGTACTGTAATAAAAGAATTAAGAAAAGAATTATAAGAACTTATCTTCAAAAGTTTGTGTGCAACATCGATAGGGTGTGCAAATTAGGCCTGCAAATCTAATTTTATATTTAGAATAAGCAAGGAAAAAAAAAACTTTTCAGTATGTGTCCTTAATAAATAAGAAACATATAAAGATAACCCAAAGATCCAACTTAATAGGAGTATATGCAAATGTTATGGCTTACCACCCCAAAATGATCAAACCTGAAAGAGATTGCCTTGCAGTTTTTTGCATCTTTACATATCTGAAAGGCAGGCTGCTGCCTGTGAAAGGATGTTAAATAGTGTTAAAGACATTGTTGTGATTTTATGTTCAATTCTATTCTAATTCTATCTAATTGTATTTCTGATACTTTAAGATGTTTATTGCCCTCCCCTGTAGGGGCGGTAAAATATCTTATTTATCAGATATTATTTCAGCTCTTATATACTGTTTATGACACACAGCCCTACTGTACTAGTTGTGTGTTAGAACAATAAATGAAAGAGTGATTCGAGCACTAATCATGGTCAACAGTTAATTCTGCACATACTTGGAATAAATTCACCACAACTTCTGTTCAAAATATGAGTTTATTAAGAAAAATCATTCAGCTCCAAGTCAAACATATTTCAGTGTAACACTCTCAACTAATGTTATATCAACGTTTAACCCTCAGCGAACTAAAGCTTCTCCAAGCTTCAGCAACAACTCAACACATATTCCTGTAGCATAGCGTTGCATGCAGTCTATTCTGTTAGCTTGACTTTACACATCAGTAAACACATGTTGTTTGTTCTGTCCCTAATCATGCCAGACCTGCAAACCTTTTTCCATGTCCATTTGGAAAACCTGAGTTTCCTCCACTTGCAGCTCAGCCGTCAGGACAGTAAGGCCCGCATCTCCACTGTGGTGGAGATCCAGCCAAGGGGGACTCCAGCTTCCTGGGCAATGGAGAGGATTCAAGGAGAGCAGGAGCCAAAGAGAGAGGAGGCAATAGAGGGAGAATTATGTGTGCTCCGTGGTTTTTGTCTGTCCTCACACTTAGTCCTTGTCAGGATTGCGGTAGGGCAGGAGCCTCTTTCCAGCAGTCTACAGGCGAGACGCAGGATACACCCTGGAAAGGTTGCCAGTCTGTTGCAGGTACAAAATAAAGGATACATTTAAAATATATGAAAATAAAGAAATTAAAGTCAGGCATTGCTTTGCAATGATCATTCAACAAAATATCTTAATAAAATACACTCATTAAAGAGGCCTGGACAAAAATGATGGGACCCTTAAATTCATATTAACATGAACTTTCATGAGACTTCTCCACTCCTCAACAGCTTTTTGAGAACTGTTGCAGTTATCTTAGGTTTAAGGGGTGCCTTTTCCAGATGGCATGTTTCAGCTCCTTTCAAAGATCCTGGATAGGATTTAGGTCAGGGCTTGTAGAGGGCCACTTCAGAAATTTCCAAATTTTTCGTCTTAGCAATGCTCTGTTGTTTTTAGCTGCTTGTTTTTGGTTGTTTTCTTGTTTTAAGACCCAGGACCTGTGACTGAGGCCAAGCTCTCTGATGCTGAGCAGCACATTGCTCTGTAGAATCCCTAGATAGTCTTGAGATTTCATTATACCAAGCAGAAATTCAAGAAACCCTGTGCCAGAAGAAGCAAAGCAACCAGAGAAACTAATAGAGCCTCCTCCATGTTTCACAGTAAAGATAGTGTCTTTTTATTCACATACGTTATTTCCTCTTGTGAACAGAGCTGATCTACTTTGGCAAAAAGTTGAATTAGTTTCTCCTCTGTTCATAGTACGGCTTTGTGGCTTGTCAACATGTAGTTTGGCAAATTTCAGTCTGGCCATTTTATAATTTGTTTGCAGCCATGGTGCCCCCTTTTTATTATCCCCCATTAGGTCCACTCAAGGAACTGATGTTCTTTGAGCTTGAAGATCACATTTAAGCTTTTTGTAGGTTTTTTCTTGGGTCCTGTGTTACCTTTTGCATTATCATCTCTTTGACTTGTTAACAATTATTTTACTGTGGCCATTTTCGGGGAGGTTGGGCACATTCCCATGAATCTTACATTTCTGAATAATATGTGCAACTGTTATCACAGGAACATCAAGGTTGTTGGGGATGCTCTTAAAACCTTTATCTTTAACATGCTTGTCTACAATTTTCCTTATAATCATCTGAGACAGCTCTTTTCTTGGCTTTCTCTGGTACAGTTTGAGTGTGGTAATCACCAAACAGCTGCCTTAAAACCCAACAACACACTTAGTCAAACCGGGTTCTCCTAAAGACCAAAAACCTAGCATTATTTGATATTGATACATTGCAGAACAGAAGGACAGCCTTCAAGAAACCAAACAACAACTACAAAAAAGCGTGGTGCAGTAAAGGGGAGCCAGAATCTCTGCAAGATTCAACTTGCACCTCAATAACAAAGTATACACTTTTGAAGAACAAAATACCCAGATTTTGCAGAGAGAGGACACATGATTTGTGAAAGGGTTGAGGGAAGCCATCTTTGTGAAACCCTAAAAAGAGAACATCACTGAACACAGTAGGAGGTTTACACTTTTAGCCTTCAAGCATTTCCAATTCATAGAAGTCATGGAACTCATCCCAAAGAAATAACATAAGCAATCTCATCATGATTCAAAAGGCCAATCACATACAACTTACCAGTTTAATAATAAAGTTGAGAAAAGACAATCAGTTTTACATCCGGCTTCTTCTTTCAGCCAGCGCCAATGAATAAACTCCTTTCCATGATCGACTCTTATTTTCCTCAGGTACATCCCTTTTACACTTTCTTTTTTAAGCCTCCTCAGAAGGTTTAAACTTTTTCCTTGCTTCAGCCATGATCAGTCGTCGAGTAGGCAGAAAAATAGCAAAGCAAAAGCCATAACTCCATAATGATATCGCGCCCATAAATTAATACTTTCTTCAAGGTCACATGACCTGGCAAATGGGTACATCATCTCTCAACTAAGTTAGTTGGTATTTCAAGAGGGGAGAACCACATTGATAGTGTCAAGCGCTGTATAATGGTCTGAGGAATCATTTATAACAACTCATATGAGTCAACTCTTTAGATGTCAAAGTCCGCGATGTGCCTTTAAGCATGATTAAAAAGCAATGTCTGACCCTCATCTGTTTGTTTTAATATAATTTTCATATACTATTACTGTATTATTATTTATGAACTCTATGAAGAATTGACACCTGTTAGAATCTGATTGCTCCCATACTGTATGGAGTTAGCATTAGCCAAGCCTCAGGGTTGATTGCTCTGTTAATGCAGCTTGAATTTCAGTCATATGTTCTTTGGTTTATAAATTCATTTAAAGATTTACAATGTCCTCTGATTTAATTAACTAATGTATATATGAATTGATTTATCAAGAAATATTATGTGTTTTTTTCAAATCCTAGTTTTTGGTGATTTTAACATTATTTTGTGTAGTTAGAAAGAAACTAAACAAACTGGTGTGAAAGGCCGTTTCTGTCTTAGGCTGGACTCAGTTTAGGAAGTGGCTGAGAGTAAGATACTGTCAGAGTTTACATCCATCATGGACAACACCTTTCACCCCCAGCACCAGAGTGTAAAAGAGCTAAGCAGCTCCAGCACCAACAGCCCTCTGATTGCAGGGCAAACTCCTGCATCTGACGCCACTGTCACCCCAACATGCATGCTTGCTGTCAGGGATTGATTCTGAGTCAATGAGTCGAGGAAATCTGCTGGTTTTCCTTAAATAGAAAACTTTGAACCAATCTGACTTTATGATCTGCTTGATTTGTCTCTGTAAAATGCCTAGAAAATTATGTGTGTTGTAGGTTGGTGGTATATAAATAAACTGAATTGAATTTAGTTATATTAAACAGTTTTTCTTTTATTATGTGCTCTTTGTTCTACATGCTCTTTGTTCTACGTATTCAACAATGTTTAACTTTTTTTAACCTAAAACCTAAAACAGTGGTAAATATCCTTGAAGCAATACAATGGAAAAATAAAATACCTTCATTTTTCAAGCAGTACTTATCCACTTCTTTACATACCATACTTTAGCAAGCATATTGCAGATGGATGCCTGAAATAACATTAAAGCATTATGCCCATATTTTAGTTGTACATACATTGTTTCCTCTTGCCTGCTTCTTCTCAGGTATAATTCATTTTCTGGGTGGATTTAATCTGCTTCCTCCATTTGCAGGTACTGCTTACTACCTCAAAGCTCAGAGTTGTATCATAGCCAGTAATAGTTCCAGCAAAGGGTAGCTGATAACATTCCCCTGTTATCTGCTATCCTTGACTGCCTGT